ATCTCAGAAGACACACGAAAAATAAAGCCAATTGCTTGTTTGAAGCTTAAGTCGGCGACTAACTGGGAATGAATAAAAGTACTGCTTTACACAAGTAACATTTTTAATCCTCACCAGTTATTTCCAGTCCTGACTGAATATTTAAAATGATCTGTGAAGCTTTTAAAATCTACTGATGTCTGAATTTTACCCTCAGAGATTCTATTTATAGGAGGTATGGCACAGGCTGATACATTTTTAAAAAATGACTTACATATGCAACCAAGTTGAGAACCACGGCAATACACCCTTGAGAAAAAAAAATTATCCTTCCCAGTTTACAAATGATGAAAGTAAAACTCAGAATTAAAAGGTAATTTGCATAGAGTCACATAGTTATGAGTAGCAGAAAGAAATTTGAACTTGAATCTACCATTTTTTTCTAAGGCATCATATTGTCTTTGCAGAGGCTTTTGGAAGTCTTATTTTCTCCACTTACCTTCTATCTGTGACAGTCTCCAACTGAGAGGCATTAGGGAATTCTATGGCCCTATGGCATGAAGCACTCCAAATACCAGTTTGGTGTTGATAGGGTAGTGTGGTCTAATGAAGACACTGACTTCCTGAATCTTCTCTCTAGACTCCCTCTTCCCATAGCTTTAAACACTGCTGCTCTAATGATGGATAAATGAGCAATGTGAAGTTGCTTAACTCTGATTGAATAGTGACAAGATATATTTAAAACATTTTTTTTTCTGAGATCATGGATATGTTAAAGAATTAAAACAGATTAATTATCCATTATTGAGTTCCAGGAAAGAGCTGCCTATACTGCTACTGCACATTTACATGTTTTTGGCCAGAAACAGTTGAGGTGAGAGGTAGCAGCAGGTAAAGGAAAATGAAAGGGTCGAAATCCTAACATCTATGACTATGTCCTAAACTGGCCTCCCAGAGAGGTCCTCAGGGTGCAGATGATCTTGAAAGGTGTGTGAAGCACAATCTCTTCCAAACTCTCCTATATAAAATGCCAGCCCTGCCCACGCATGGGAAATGAATGGAGCCTCGTGGGGTCAGTGAGGAAGGCTACAGCATCTTATAACAGATGGTATCTGGGCTACTGCCTGGCTCAATTACTTGCTAGGATGGTTTCCCTGAATTTTATGAGGAATGCTTCTTTAGTTGGTGCTGGCAGCATATGGGAGCAGGCTGAGGGTGCCTATGTTCAGCCAAGTGGTAATATTCTAGAAACTCACCATCTGAAAAGCCTATATCAGGGGTCACAAACTGTCAGTCCAAGGGCAGTATTTGGCTCAAAGATATGTTTGGCACAGTGTTTGCTAACAGTGTCTTTATATTTTTTAAAATTAATTGCTAATATTTAACATTGGAGACAGTTCATATAAAAATATCTTTTCTTTTAGCACAAGATATAATGTAGAGAGCCTTGACTGTCCTGGTCACGTCTGTATCCCCAAAGCCGAGAAGTACCTGGAACTGTTCAATGAGTATTTTTTGAATTAATGTTATTCAAAAAAATAGTCCTATGAGGTAGGAATTATTATCTTCATTTATAGTGAATAAAAGAAAGCTCAAAAATTTTAAGTAAATCACTTAAAATCACACAATTGGCAAGTAGCAGACTATTTGGACTCAGGTATGTTTGACTTCCAAACTGGTATTTTGCCCACTACAACATACGGCCCAACATCCTATGCTGGTGGCCTTTCATAATCATTAAAGACTTTCAAATTAGACTTTAAAAACAGCTTTCTTTAGATATAATTAGCATGCCATGCAATTCACCCCTTTAAAGTGTACAATGCAATGGTTACTCTTGTATATTTGCAGGGTTGTGCAACCATCACCACAATCTAATTTTAGAACATATTTGTCTACACTAAAAGAAACCCTATTAGCAGTCAGTTCCTATTCCCCTCTTCCACCCTCCTCTCCCCTATTCCCATTTCTTCTTCCATCCCTAAGTAACTGCTAATCTATTTTCTGTGTCTATAAATTTGCCTATTCTGGAAATTTCATTTGAATGGAATTATGTGGGCTTTTATACTTGGCTTCCTTCACATAACATAATGTTTTCAAGGTTCAGTCATGTTGTAGCATGCATCAATACTTCATTTATTTTTATGGACAAGTAATATTTCATTGTACAGGTACACCAAATTTTCTTTATTCATCCATAAGATGATGGACATTTGGGTTGTTTCCATTTCTTGGCTATTATGAGAAATGCTGCTATGAACATACATACCAATTAGATTTTTGGCATTATCTCAAAAGTCATTATAATTTTTTTGTTTTAAAAGCAATAATTTGAGTGTACATATTAAAAATATGCCGTCATTTTAAAAATTCACATTGCCACTTTGTTTTTAAAAATACAGTTGGAGTATCAAAAAAGCCAGAGTATCCATCTCACTCGTGGCCCCTGAGAGGCTCTGATGCTGCCTCCAACAAGCCCATTTTTACCCAACTAGACCACAAACTCCTCAAAGTGAGAACAACTGTCTTATGCTTCCTGGCATATCCATGATGACTAAGCAATACATATATCTGGGAAATACCAGCTCACAATATAGAACATCAAGACACCATGAGGTAAACAGAGAGAACAGACTAGTGGTTGCCATGGCAGCGGAGGGGGAATTAGAATGTTTGACATGTTGATCTGGGTGAAGGCTCATGTGTGTGTACACATGTCAAGATTCATCCAGCTATACACTAAGATTTATGCATTTTATTGATGTACTTCAATTAAAAAATAAACATGAATCAAATAAATAAAAAAAAATTAAAACTCAAAAAAGAAATGATGAGATAGGGTGGGAGGATTAAGCAATAACCAGGGGGAGGGGAGAAAGTAAATTCTAACACAGATACTTTTCTTCTGACCCACAACCCCATTGCTGTTGGCCTGGTCAAGAAAATTTCTGTTGATGTCATTGACTAATGGATGCTAACTTAGATGGAATGTGTAAACTAATATAGACATGCATCTTGGTTGAAAAATGGAAAATTTCTTCAGATCTCGACCAAGAGGTCAGCATTGTGTTTTTCCCATATGCTGGACCAAACAGAAGCTTCCTTTTACAGCAGGACAGGGAGTAGTCACTTGTCTAACCAACCAGTGGAGCTAATGAATGTCTGTGGCAAAAGAAAAGGGGAGGAAAGAAGAAAAGAGGAGAATAAAAAGGAGACAACTGAGCAAGAGAATCTCCTACGTATGCCTCAGTCAAGGACAGGCAAGGCCCTTTATAAAGGATTTGTGGAACTCCTGGAATATTTTGTCATTATAACATTTTGTTATATGAATAGATCAGCAAAAGCATAGGAGTAAGGAGAATGCGTGCCCAGCTTCTCTATTTCAAAGTACCAAGTGAACTGATTCAAAAACAGGAAAGGAAAAAAGAGCCATCAAGGACCCTGGCCAAGCTCATTCCTTCATGCAGCCTTTTCTCGCATCCTTCCTGGAAGGTCTTTCTTCCTCCCTTTTGCCTCTCCAAGTCTTGGGTGGCCTCTGAGATCCACGACTACTCCAGCACTCCCACTCCTGCCCTGACTCCTAGCAAATCTGCTGTGTGCTGAATGATTCCCACTAGATTAAGCATATTGTCTTTGAAAGGTTCTTGTATGTGTTTCTTATAAAACCCCTTATAAACTCCTCGAGGACAAGGGCATTTCTTTGCAGCTGCCACATCTCCCCCAGTGCCAGCCGCCGAACATACCCTCCGCTCTGCCTTGCTAACTGACTGACTGGAGAGTTCACTTGGCTCTCTTGTTCTTGCCAGCAGTGCAGAGTGCACAATGAAGCCCTTTCATTAAGGTCAAATATAGAGGGGCCAAGAAGGTACTTGTACAGAATTATTTATTGTCTCAAATGCCTCATGCAGCCAGATCCCAGAATCCTCAGGTTTGGCAGGTGTGGAAATAACTTTAATATATGTGATGGTACTTTGTGGATTAATATTTCACTTGGGTGGAATGTTTAAACTAATAAATTAAAACTTGGATTACATGAGTCAGGAAAAGGGAAGATTTTCTGTTACACAGCTGATACAGCCCCTGAAGTTCCTTTTCCTCCATGTTCCATAACTGCTAGGCATTCATAGTAGAAATTATTGCTTTTTATATTTCTGATGAGAACAGTGCCACCAGAAGAGGAGGACATGATTCCATGGAGAAAAAGGGAGAGATTCACATTGACTTTACAATCATCACTGAATGTCCCAAAGCTTTTTAGGGTGTAAACAGCAATCAATAGGAAGGAAAGCTAGACTCACACACTTTGAATTATGGATCTCTCCTCTTCTGTGGCAATTTTTTTCTTACAGAATCTTATGATACAGAAAGAGCTTGCGACTTTTCCATCATGTCTGAATCTTTAAAGCATTAAGTACATTGAGGTTTATGAGAATTGCTAACTGGCCTTATAAAACTTCAGCAATGCTTTGCAGGGATCTAAAAGTGTTCAGCTAGTGTTCACACCCACCCCACACAGTGCGAGGAGCAAAAATAATTGTACTGGCTTGTAAAGAACTTGCTCTAGTACAAGACTAGACTTGTAGATTTTTTTTTAATTACCTAAGCTGTTTCTTTTTTAGACAAATGCGATTCTAGTTTGGGTTCCAGAGCGCTCTTTATATAGTTTGCAAAGAGTGCTGGGTCTTTTGATGTTTTGACTCTAGCAAAATGTGGAGCTCTGACACATATTTAGTATATGACCTTTCTGAGGTATGGAAAAATATGCTCATCACCTAATGTTATGTCAATTTTCTTTAACCCTCTGTGTAAATGGTATACATTTAAAAGCCAGGTCTATTGTTAGACGGATTTTTCTTTATAAACATAATGACAAAGAGATTATAAAACATCAGTTAAAGAGACAGAATGTGACTGAGTCCACTGCTGCCTGTGTCTTGGAGCAAGAGAAGGGCTCATCCTAGAAATAATCGCCTTTCCTTCCAGGGTAAGAGGACAGGACTCTGGAAAAAAATGTCTCTGAGTATTTACCCAGCTAGAGATCTGGGCTGTCAGATCCAAATGGCCCCATTGCAATCCATTTTTCCTGGACGGTGCGTAGATCTTTGACAAGTGGTGAGCGACCTCTGCTTCTTGCATTTAGGCCCAGGACTGGACTCTGTGACCAGGGATTTGGTGTACGAGGCTTCACAGGCTACAGAGAAATATTAACACATGAGTACACATGACAAACATGTGGTCTCACATAAAAAGCAGATACGAAGAGAAAGCCTCTTCAGCCATGGTTTATCAGATTCATCCCATGAACTGATATAATAAATAAGGAAAAAGAATCCATTAGGTTTAGTCCTGCCTCCCTTGACCCCAAGCCAGTAGTCAAATGTGGAGAATACACCTAAATTTCCCATCAAGAAAGCTTGGGTGTCTGCATGGTGATCTTTGGAATTAGCCTGCTTTCTATGCCTATGCCTTTATTATTATGCAGAAGTAGCAGCAACTATGGACAGTAGTATAGCGATGACTAAAGAGCCTTATTCCTGGGATGTGCTGAGGAGGTAGATTCAGTCAAGGTGAATAGCTCCTGGGGACTCAGCACTGCTGTGTTTCAACCCCATAAACCAACCAATGTAGTGATGGCCAGGGTTGAGCTTGCACCTACTTAAAACATTCCTGGGAGTCTAGGTAGTTCTGATATGAATCTAGGTTTCAATATCACTCCAGGAAATAATAAAAGGTATAACCCACCAAATGAATTTTCAGCTTAGGGCAAAAGTACAAATTGAAGCCTTTTTACCATATGTCTAACCATTTAAATGTTATTAATCAAGCTAACAAACTGGTAAGTAAAATACATTCTATCACCTACCTTGAGATCAGGCTTGACTTTGGAATTTTCAGATTCTCTGGAGTCTTTACCAAAACATGGTGAAAAGATGACCTGCAGTCTGCTAGTCTCTTTCCATTACCAGATTCATCACGCACTGAGAGGACCTCATCACACACATGGAGACTTCAGACTGCACATCCAAGCTCTGTTCACATACCCCTGCAAACAACTGTTGGCCATGCCTTGATTCTAAGGGTACACACACTTGCAATGCTGGCCATCCTTGGGAAGACAGGCCAATTCCCCCAAGTCCTAAAAATGGGCAGGCAATTCCAGATACTTGGGTACTTAGAGTGTGCTGTCTGTAAGGCAGAGAGTAGGCTCTAGTAGGGCACACCTATCTGTCCCCACAGAATCCTCGCCCTATAGGGGTGCATGTGGGCAAAGATCAGAGAGTTCTCTAAAGCTGAGGCCCAAAGGCAGGGGCACCTTCTGCTCTGGTATGTCGCTGTTAGGTTATTGCTGGCTGTCCTAACATAAGATTGCTTCCCAGGAAATGTCCTCCCACTCACAGTGCCCACTAAACTGGTGATGTGACATGAAGGTGCAGGGCCATAGGCTGATAAGAATATGTCCTGTGGTACCTAACACTGAAGTATGTTGGTAATGAAGGAAAAACAAGGTTTGAAATGTATGGGGCCAGAAGCTAGTTTATTGAAAATTCTTCTAATCATCACAGATATAAAATTATAAAAGAAGTATTTAGTTCTCACAAATGTCTAGTCAAATAAGTTATCTCTTAATAATGCAGCATTATAAATGCACCATACTTTTTCTTTTTTGATAAGAATCAAACAAAATAGAATATATCAGAAAGAACAAAATAGCAGTGGGCTCACAGACACTGAGAAGGGTCTAGTGATTACCAAGGGGGAGGGGATGGGAAGGATGGGGGGGAGAGGATAAAGGGGCACAATAATTAACAATCACAATATCAGCTGATTACAGGGACAGTAGTATAGCACAGAGAACACAGTTAATGATTCTGTAACATCTTACTATGTTGATAGATAGTGACTGCACTAGAGAGGGTGAGGATTTAGTAATATGGTTAACGGACCACTGTGTTGTGTATTTGAAACCAACATAAGATTGTATATCAATGATACTTTATTAAAAAAAGACCATTCTTAGCCATTTAATTGGGTAATATGTTAGAAAAATGGTATTTTCTCTTCTATAGACAAGGAGTATTTTATCCTATTCAAAAGTGCTAAATAAATGTTACTTACATATTGATCATGTATTAAAAAAACAGAATATATCAGGATTTTCTATTTGTAGGGAGCAAACTTACAGTAGTACTACAGTGAGTTTGCTTGTGTGTGTGTGTGTGTGTGTATCTTCCTCTTTTGTTAGTTAACTTTATTATCACATGTAATGAATTTAATGGGATTATTTCTGATTTTTATACTTGATTATTCTTTAATTAATCTCAAAAGCCTAATACCAGAGCTTGATATATGCCCATTCACATTTGCAGAAAGAATACCTTGCCTCTTATAATCTTATATTTCCTATTTCACAAATAACTTATAATTTCAGCTACATATTATATTCCATTATTGCTAGTTAAGTAATAAGAACCAACATATTATTTAATATCTTGTTTTTTAAAAAATGGGTAACTCAATTGTAATGGACTACATGGTTTTGATTTTAACTTTCAAGACGTATTCTTCTTATCAATTATTTTTATTATATTCTTGAATATTATACTTGAAATGAAAAATAGAGTCATGATAATAGAGTCATGATTAAAAGTGAGTCTGACCTGCATGTGAACATCTGCAGCAGCTTTATTCATAATTACCACAAGCCAGAAGCAACCAAGATGTCTTTCAGTAAGTGAATGAAAAAACAAACTGTGGCCCATCTACTCCATCTACACAATGAAATGTTATTCAGAGATAAAAAGAAATAAGCAATCGAGCCACAATAAGACATGGGTGAGCCTCCTTAAATGTGTATACTGCTAAGGGAAAGAAGCCAGCCTGAAAAGACTATGTAACATATGATTTCAATTACATGACATTCTGGAAAAGACAAAACTATAGAGAAAATAAAAGACCAATGGCTGTCAGGTGTTCAAGAGGAGGAGGGAAGAATAGAATAGGTCAAACACAGGACATTTTTAGGGTGGTTAAACTATGCTGTATGATACTGAAATGGTGAATACATGGCATGGTGTGTTTGTCACAACCCATGTAACTATACAGCACAGAGTGAACCTTAATATATGCAAATTTTTAAAAATCATTAATGAGGTCAAGGGAGCCCAGGAAGAAAATGCAGACTGTGACAAGAGAACTGTAACCTCAATGTAAAGACATTTAATTACAGATAATATGATAATAATGAAAAATATTTTCAAGCATTAACATATAGTATATCAGAATAAAATTCTATGTGGAAGTTACTTCAAAATGGAAATGTAAGTTTCTTTAAAAGATAACACACGTTCAGCTTTAAAGTTGAAATAAATCGTCTGTCTGATTTTTTTCATGGATGATGGGGGTATCAAACTCTTAGAGTATTTAAATTCAATTGGATGCATTTAAACAAGTGATATAACAGTTTTAATTTGAAATATAAATATGTAAATGTTGTAATATGTAGACAATAGAAATAAGACACTTTGCAATAGAGTCATGATAATAGAGTCATGATTAAAAGTGAGTCTGACCTGCATGTGAACATCTGCAGCAGCTTTATTCATAATTACCACAAGCCAGAAGCAACCAAGATGTCTTTCAGTAAGTGAATGAAAAAACAAACTGTGGCCCATCTACTCCATCTACACAATGAAATGTTATTCAGAGATAAAAAGAAATAAGCAATCGAGCCACAATAAGACATGGGTGAGCCTCCTTAAATGTGTATACTGCTAAGGGAAAGAAGCCAGCCTGAAAAGACTATGTAACATATGATTTCAATTACATGACATTCTGGAAAAGACAAAACTATAGAGAAAATAAAAGACCAATGGCTGTCAGGTGTTCAAGAGGAGGAGGGAAGAATAGAATAGGTCAAACACAGGACATTTTTAGGGTGGTTAAACTATGCTGTATGATACTGAAATGGTGAATACATGGCATGGTGTGTTTGTCACAACCCATGTAACTATACAGCACAGAGTGAACCTTAATATATGCAAATTTTTAAAAATCATTAATGAGGTCAAGGGAGCCCAGGAAGAAAATGCAGACTGTGACAAGAGAACTGTAACCTCAATGTAAAGACATTTAATTACAGATAATATGATAATAATGAAAAATATTTTCAAGCATTAACATATAGTATATCAGAATAAAATTCTATGTGGAAGTTACTTCAAAATGGAAATGTAAGTTTCTTTAAAAGATAACACACGTTCAGCTTTAAAGTTGAAATAAATCGTCTGTCTGATTTTTTTCATGGATGATGGGGTATCAAACTCTTAGAGTATTTAAATTCAATTGGATGCATTTAAACAAGTGATATAACAGTTTTAATTTGAAATATAAATATGTAAATGTTGTAATATGTAGACAATAGAAATAAGACACTTTGCAACTATTCAAACTTACAATGAAAACATTTTAGATGTCAATTTAAAGAGGGTATGTGAGCAAATAGGTTGCAAGTTCAACATCCTAGCCAGCATCTTTCATGAAGTACAGCAGGGTTTGGTAAACTTCTGTAAAGGACCAGATAGTAGAAATTTTATGCTTTGAGGGCCACTCTGTCTCAAAACTACTCAATTCTGCTGTTGTAACATGAAAGTAGCCACAAACAGTTTGTAATGAATGAGTGTGGCTGCATTCCAATAGAAGTTTATTGTGGGCATTGAAATGCAAATTTTGTATAAATTTCAACCACTTAAAATATAAAAATCATTCTTGGTCCTCAAATGGGTATAAAAACAGGAGGCAGCTGGACTTGGCCTGAGGGCAGCAATTTGTTGACCCCTGGTTTGTAGTAATTTGATAAAACAGTCTTAAAAATTAGTAAGAGTCAATATTTTCAAAGTTAGACTGTAATGTGTCTCACATTTGCTAAAGTAAAGGCCTTTTAATTCAGAAAATAATTCAGAAATGCATGAAGTAAAACATGAAAGTTCTTCTATTGTCAATAATCCTGTTCCCAGCAATAGCGTCTGTCTTCAGTTTGGTGTATTTGTCTTTCCAAATATTCAACTGTGTTGACACAGACACAGACACACACACACAGACACACAGACACACACACACATACACACATGCAAACATATAGGGTTTCAAGGAAACCACATATAAAAGTATATAGATGGTGTTTTTTTAACAAAA